CAAGACATAGAAAAGAAAATTTCAAACTTGCATGAAACAATAATAAATATATCCGGACATACTTTCAAAGTAAAACATAACATGTTATGTACAATGATTGATGGAAAAACAGCTCAATCGCTCACTGACACAAAATCATCATCAACTTGTTACATTTGTAAAGCGACTCCTCGAGAGATGAATGATCTTAATCGAATTCATCAAAAATCTTATGACGACAATGCTTTAAAACTCGGCTTATCTCCTCTACATGCGCGTATAAAATTCATGGAATGCATTCTTCATGTCGCTTACAATCTGTCTTTTAAAAAATGGTCAGTTACGAAGGAAACAAAAATTGAAAAAGAAAACAACAAAAAGAAAATCCAAAAAGAATTTCAATCTCGAACTGGTCTTAGAATAGATACGGTGCGTCAAGGCTGTGGAAATACAAATGATGGCAATACTTCGCGCCGTTTTTTTTCCCAGCCGAAGGTAACAGCAGAAATCACAGGAATAAACGAAAATTTAATTAAACGTTTCTCAGTAATACTGGAAGTCATTACTTGCAGTGCTGCTATTGATCCGAAAAAATTTGGCATATATTCTTATGATACTGCAAAAATGTTTGTTGACTTGTATGGCTGGTATTACATGCCAGTAAGTGTTCACAAAGTTCTTCTTCATGGCGAAAAAATTATTACTGCAGCAATGCTTCCTATTGGTTTATTATCTGAAGAAGCACAAGAAGCTCGCAACAAAGATTATAAAAAATATCGAATTTATCATTCAAGAAAAATTAGTCGTTTAACTACAAACGAAGATGTGTTGCATCAATTATTAATCTCATCTGATCCATATTTATTCAGTTTGCGAAAAGAACCAGCAAAAAGTATTTTACCATTAAGTGAAGATGCGAAATCTCTTTTCCAAGACGAATCTGAAAAACCTGACTAATTATTCATTTAAAAAATTATTCTTATTATTTTTGCAATAATATAATAATTAAAAATTTAATAAATTCTAATTGATAAATCATTATCTTTAAGTTAAAAAAATAATTATGACTCTATCTATTGAAATTAAAAAGTTACATAATTTTTTCCGAAAGTATGCGTTCTAGCACCACTGTGCGCCGTGTCAATTCCTTTTCATCTCCCGCGATCGTATTTTCTTCAACGACTGCGACCCACGTTTAATGCATGATTTTCAGAGCGCAGTCGCTTAACCATGCGATAAAACCCAACGCAGCCAATTAACATTGTAATGCTCCATTTATGCGATACTGTTTGTATCCAACGAATGATTAGGTACAATTGAATTAGTCATCCGGAAAGCAGCATAATTATACGTTTAAAAGCAAGCGAAATACGAAAACATTAATTTCATATATAAAGGATAAAAATTTCTAAGTATTTCGAAGTATTAATTTTTTCAAATATTGAAGAAGTTAAATTAAACAATGTTTTATTAAATATTAAAGTTATCGATTTGAATAATTATGAGATAAAGTTCAAAAATTACATAAACGATTTTATAATGGAGAAATATATTTATTTATAACCCTTCTATAAAAATGATAGAGAAGCAGAAAAAGACATCTCTTGTTGACAGTTTTTCGCTTTTCTCAAACTTGTCCATTTGT